CCAGCCGTGTTGGCCAAAATTTCTGGGGATTGTAGTCCAAGAACATTTAGAAAGCCAAGGTTGGGAACTACTGCTCTAAAGAAAAAGCTCTCATTGTCAGAATATCTGATCATCATCATCTCCATCACTACCACTAATAAAGTGAAGGGACCTGCTTCTGTGTCAGTTTTGAGTAGACATTATAAGTAAAGGATCTCTCTTATAACAGGAGGGTCTAATTGCCCACTGATATCATGCTATGAATCGTATTGTTAAAAGTAAAAAATGTGAAATATTAAATAGGCTTTTCTAGCAGAATATTTTTTTTATTAGAAGTAACGATCCCATTTATAAAGGGGGAAAATCTCTGCAGAGGATTAATGTATAATTCATAACAGATGTTCAAATGCGGAAGAGAAAGCCAGGCTACTTAAATTAAAGGCAATATGGAGAACCATAGCTTGGGCATTAAAGTTTTCATGCAAAGGATCCCGGACAACCAAAGCCTTCTCCACATGGTATTAGCTTCTAATGAGCAGACTTGTGTTGTCTCCTCCGCCATTGTACATGAAATTATAAAGACAGCCTGCTGTCATGATGTCTACATGACAGTAACTTCACAAAAGCTATGGAGTTATATTGCTAGAAGAAATAAAAGCAACATTTGTATATTTTACAAAATTAAGAAGAAATGATGCAGCAATCTAGAGTGCAAGCCTTTCCAGATTCCTCTTATGCACATAACTAACTAACTAACTACAGTGGTGCCTCGCTTGACTATTACCTCGTTAGATGAGCAAATCGCTTGACGATTAGTTTTTTGCGATTGCTATTGCGATAGCTAAACAATGACTGAATGTTTTTTTTTTCGCTTAATGTTGATCGGTTCCCTGGTTCGGGAACTGATTTTTCGCTTAACAACTATCAAATAAAGCTGATCGTCAGGTTTCAAAATGGCCACCTGCTGTGCAAAATGGCTCCCCGCTGTGCTTTAGGACGGATTCCTCGCATTACAGGCACCAGAAAATGGCTGCCCTATGGAGGATCTTCGCTGGACGCTGAGATATTTCGATTGGAACGCATTGAACCAGTTTTCAATGCATTTCAATGGGCTTTTTCGTTTCGATTGACGAGGATTTTGCTTAACAGTAATTTGAACAGAACGAATTATCCTCGTCAAGTGAGGCACCACTGTAACTAATTAAGTAAGCAAGCAAGGCTTCAGTTTGCATTTAGCATAAAACTTTCTTTCACAAAAGAGAGGAAGGAGTGAAGGCAGAGGTGGGCTAATTTTGTATTAATTCCCTTAGTTATTTTTGATATTAGTTATTTTAGATATATTTCTTCTCCATTTGTTCTGCTAGTATATTTTATTCATTTGCCTCCAGATTTCTTCACTCCTAAGCAACGTTATTTTGAGGTCTTCATCAGGATCAGTTAAAATACAGTGTTGCCCCGCATAGCAAGGTTAATCCGTTCCGGATTAACCTTCGCTATGGGGAAACATCGCTATACGGAACGAAAAAACCCATTGGAACGCATTAAACGAACACATTAAACCATTCCAATGGGGCCCAAACTCACCGTTATACGATGTTTCCCCATCCGGCCGCCATTTTCGCGTGCTCGATAAGCGAGGGCAGAGCGCGAAAACACTGCGCGCGGCCATTTTGGGCGTCCGGCAGCCATTTTGGAACCTCCGAACAGCTGATTTAAAAAATCGCTATGCAAAAATCGCAAAGCGAATTTTGGCCATTTAGACCATCGGTATGCGATCGCATTAGCGATCGCTAAATCCGCATCACTATGCAGATTCATCGTTAAACGGTGCGCTCGTTATGCGAGACACCACTGTATATATTTAAAACTACTCACCCCACCTGTACTCTTAATTACGGATGTCCGATATCTCTAACCAGACCTAGAGGACTTTTAAGAAAACTAAACTAAAATGGAGAACTATTTTTTTTAGCAAACTTGACGAAGCCTTTCAACTTAAACCTACCCAGATACACTTGAAGCATCTGTTGCTTAAAGGTTGATCTTAAGAGCAGAGTGAGTGCATTTTTCCAATATGACCTTTTACCAAGTGTGGTTATCCAGGCTTCTCAGGAAGGTGTGGTAGTACTCCATATGTACAAGTACCAGTTGAGCCATCTATGCAGAGCCCTTGTGACCACTTAGTTTACAGGAGAAAAGGGAGTGCAAGAATGAAGGGCTGCCTGGCTCCGAGCAGACAGTCTTAGCTCTAATAATCTAGAGATGCTGTTGCATCTGTTCTTTTTCTCTTCAATCAATGTTTTTGTATGGGGTAAACGACTGAAGAAATGGTCAAAAACTGGGGCCAAATATAAATGGAAGACAATGTCAGCCAGACTCTCTTAAGAGAGAGGGTGACTGCATGATACAAGTCTAGTCTGGAAATACAGTCCCACCTTTACCTGATATATTTCTATAGGGCAACTTGTGATATTCCAGTTGCTTTTGGTCTAACTCTCTTTATGCCTATGCTATGAGAGCATGCGAGCTGCACTCCAACATCTGGATAATCCCATGTTGCCCATTTCTGGTATAAAGGGAGAAAGAAGCTCAAGATCCTCTACTGAAGTAGAAGCCAAGACATGCCAATGGTCAACTACGGTATGATACTTTGATTACTGTATTTCTTATTTTCTCAGGTGGAGAAATATGAGGGAAAGACTGAGCAGTTGAAGCTTGCATCACTCATATACCTGCAAGGCATGGGTGGAACAAATTTGTAGTGAATGAAAATCTCAGATCCGCTGTCCATTTTTTTCCTGAAATCATGGGAAACGGGTGAGGTGCCAGATGATTGGAGTAGGGCTTATGTTGTCCCTATCTTCAAAAAAGCCAAAAAAGAGGAACCTGGGAACTACAGGCCAGTCAGCCTGACATCAATCCCAGGGAAAGTTCTGGAACAAATTACAAAATGATCACTATACAGGCACGTAGAAAACAATGTAGTAATAACTAGAAGCCAACATGGATTTCTCAGGAACAAATCCTGCCAGACTAGCCTGATCTCATTTTTTGATCGGGTAACCTCACTGAAAGACAGAGGGAATGCTGTGATCATAGTATATCTTGACTTTAGCAAAGCTTTTGACAAAGTGCCCCATGATATTGCAAGCTAACTAGGTGTGGGTTGGATAGATGAAGTGCCAGGTGGATACACAATTGGCCAGAGTGTGATGATTAATGGATCCTTCTCCAACTGGAAGGAAGTAACAAATGGGGTACCCTAAGGATCAATCCTGGGTCCGGTGCTCTTCAACATTTTTATTAATGACTTGGATGAGGGAGTGCAGGGAATGCTTGTCATCAAATTTGCAGATGATACCAAATTGGGTGGAATAGCTATCACCTTGGGAGACAGAAACAAAGTTCAAAATGATCTTGAGAATAGCTATCACCTTGAGAGACAGAAACAAAGTTCAAAATAATCTTGATAGGCTGGAGCACTGGGCTGAAAACAACAGAATGAAATTCGAGAAGAATAAGTGCAAAGTACTGCATCTCAGAAAAAGAAACCAAATGCACAGTTAAAGGTTGGGGAATATCTGGGTCCGCAATACTACAAGCAAGAAACATATTGAAATTTTTGTAGTTTCACCTTGAGAGACAGAAACAAAGTTCAAAATAATCTTGATAGGCTGGAGCACTGGGCTGAAAACAACAGAATGAAATTCGAGAAGAATAAGTGCAAAGTACTGCATCTCAGAAAAAGAAACCAAATGCACAGTTAAAGGTTGGGGAATATCTGGGTCCGCAATACTACAAGCAAGAAACATATTGAAATTTTTGTAGTTCATAACATGAATGAATATGAGCCAACAGTGTGATGTGGCTACAAAAAAGCCAAATGCTATTTTAGGCTGCATTAACAGAAGCATAATTTCCAATTCCTACGAGGTACTCAATTCTCCCAATGCTAAACATTCTGGACACCACACTTCAAGAAGGATGCTGACAAACTGGAACAGTTCAGAGGATGATCAGGGGGCTAGAAACCAAGCCCTATGAGGAAAGAATGAAAGAACTGAGCATGTTTAGCCTTGAGAACAGAAGACAGAGAGGTGATATGATAACACTTTTCAAATACTTGAAAGGCTGTCATACAGAGGAGGGACAAGATCTGTTCTCGATCATCCCAGAGCACAGGACATGCAACAATGGGCTCAAGTTACAGGAAGCCAGATTTTGGTTGAATATTAGGAAAAAACTTCCAAACAGAACAGTAAGATATGGAACCAGTTACCTCAAGGGGTGATGAGTGCACCGACACTGGAGGCATTCAAGAGAAACATAAGACAACCACCTGGCAGATATCTTTTGATTTTGTGTTTCTGCATCGAGCAGGGGGTTAGACCTGATGGCCTTATAGGCCCCTTCCAAATTCACTATTCTATGATTCTATGAAAATGTGTTTTTTATTTACCATAGAAATGTATAACCACTGCTTTGGATAACTGGTGTACAGTGAAGAGGCAGAAGTAGGAAACAATATAACCAGCTAAAAGAAGGAGAAGTTATCCCATGCTCTACTGAGTTTTTACATTAAGAGGCGTATATTTTAAGGCCAAGAAGAGGTGGGAGGGAGGTATCTAAAAGTTGCTTCTCATGCGTTTATGGTTATAAAAGGAATTGAAATCCTTTTTAATTAAATAAAATGATAGCAAATTGCTTTAATCTTCCCCAAAACCTGAAGAAAACATCTGGCCAATGTGTATATTATTCGGGCCTACTAATAAATTAATGACTAAGTAATGAATACTGTGGCATTTGCCCACTTTGTGAGAATACCTGCAAACTGATCAAAGCAATCTTGAAAATGGGCCAGTAATATATAAATGAATAAATGTTGAGAAAGACCAGATAGAGTTATTATTTTGGAATTTTAATGAGGCTGGTATGAGAAATCCTAGATTTTGTTAGAAGTTTTAAAGATGACAAAGTAGCCAGTGGAAAAATACAATTCCCAGCAATAGATTCTTACTCACCCAACAGACAGGAAAGGCTCCTTTGATTCAAGTCTGAAAAATAAATGACACTGAAATGGTTAAATGTATTTAAAAGTACATAGACTCATTGCACAAAACTGACACTGGCTGCATCAGTTACGTGCCTCAGTTGGAAGAAGGGTGACATATTGGTTAGAGTAACCTCCCCACCCCCAAGCATGTGCACAACGATTATCTATTCCAATACACTCTATGCATGTGATGAAATGAGCTTCTGTCCACGAGAGTTTACACCAAACAAAATTTGTTAATCTTTACGATGTCATAAGGTTTCTTCTTTTTGATGCAATAGCACAATTAATTTCTATGGGGGGCATATGAAAAATCTGAACTGTGTTCGGGGGCCGAACCAACTTTACTTAAAAATAAAATGATACAGTGATGTTATGATTTTTTTTTATTTTAAACTTGTTAATCTTCACAAATACTAAAGAGGTTTTTTTTGCGGTATGCTAAAGATAAGCAACTGATCAACTTTAGACAAAAAGCTATAAATGGTTTTGATGTTCAAAACTGTCCGTGGGCCGGACAGGAGCGGCTTGCGGGCTGTATGTGGCCCTCGGGCCGCACTCTGCCCAGGTCTGCAATAGATAGACTAATACAGCACTTGTTTCCTGAGGAAATGTTTACACGGTATGCTCCTGTCTAGAGAAGAATGTCCTGGGCTCAGAGCTGGCTGCGCAAAGTAGAGATCAGCCAGGCCTCACAACCTGGCCTTCAGCCACAACATCATCATCCCTATCCTCAAGAAAGTCAGCAAGAGTACCCAGGAAAGTCTCCACCTTCTCCCGGTGGTGGTGCCCTACAGATGCTATGTAACCTAAGGCATCCAAAAATGTTGAACTGGGGCTGTTGAGCCTCTCGACATGGGTCTATTTCAGACTCTAATGTAGTGCTAGAGTAAGACTAGGGTGAGCCAGGTGCAAATCTCAATCCAGCCATGAAGCTCAGGGGGATGCACATGCACCGGGAAGCCTCAGGGGGAGAAGACGGACTTTAAATAGCTAATTGACCATTTTTACACTAGGTGTGTGGGAAGGGTCTATCAAGGAAGTCCAAGGAGTAGCATTATGGTGGGCCTGGTAGGGTATGTGGCTTAAGGACTGCACCATTTTCAGCCCTGCTTTAAGAGAAACAAGTAAACAATTAAAAGCTTTGAAATCAAGGGAAGAGGCTGAGCATCAATACTGTGATAAAGGACAGAACTGAATACCAGCTGCGGTGAGGGGATGGTTGCAGATGTGATGCCCTTTGGATAAAGCATGGCAATTAAAAACTTGTTTGAAATTCATTCCCAAGAACGGAAAAGAATTGAAATTCAATTTGCTCAGAATATCAGTGTCCTCAGTTTGACCCTTCCTTCATATATTTGACTAAATGGTTTTAGGTGATTTGTAGTGATACAGTAAATTACTTTAAAGTGTTTCAGGCAATAGAGGAATGCAATTATCCACTGGCCTTTCATTTAAATTGTTCATTTAAATTAGTAACTCAGTGCAATAAAACTAAAATAAAGGCACTAAAACAGCAACAGTATATGGACATCAATATATTCCACATGCTATATTGCTGCAATTAAGCAATCAAAGTTTTTCAGGGTGATTCCTGATGAAGAGTGATTCTACATAGCTTTCTATTTTGTTTCCCCTGGAGAAAATGCATCATTACATATTGCATTATGCTTATACCAGAGGCCAACCATTTTCAGCTTTTCAAACAGAGGAACCCTGCAACATCATTCTACAGTAAGACACATAGGTTTACTAAGCCATATACAAAGACAGCATCTTTAAAAGCAGAGACATCACCTTGCCAACAAAGGTCTGCATCATCACAGCTATGGTTTTTCCAGTAGTGATGTATGGAAGTGAGAGCTGGACCACAAATAAGACTGACCGCTGAAGAATTGATGCTTTTGAATTGTGGTGCTGGAGGAGACTCTTGAGAGTCCTTTGGACTACAAAGAGAAAAAACATCCATTTTGAAGGAAATCAACCCTGAGTGCTCACTGGAAGGACAGATCCTGAGGCTGAGGCACCAATACTTTGGCCATGAATTTGGCCAAACCCCGGGAGGGAGTGGAAGACAGGAGGACCTGGTGTGCTCTGGTCCATGGGGTCACAAAGAGTCGGACATGACTTAATGACAAAACAACAAATACAAAGACAAACAGTATTAATTATGCTAAATTTCTTCTAGCTGGATTTTAGTACAGACTAAATACTGATACTCCAGCAGGAAATAGGGAAAAGTCATTACATTTAATGAGATTTAATAAGAAGCTGCTATTTGGTGTGCTATATACATTTCTTTGTCAAAAATAACGTGGTTTCAGATTTACAGAGATATCATGATGAAACTCTTCATGTTCTGAAACTTGAAATGCTACTGCTTAAGCAAAGGAAAACACCATCAGGATGAAATCTCAATTCCTCTGCTTCAGATGTTTGAGTGGAGAGGCAGTGAATGCCATGCTCTGCCTATGGCACAAAGGCCTCACCCTGAGGGAGGCCTTCCTCAGAATGAGACATACAGAAGTTGTAGCCATGGAGATGGCCTCTGTATCCTGCAATGCCCAATCTCCTGATTCAGAAGGTATGATGTGGGGTTGCTCAGCCTGCCGTATCCTATTCCCTAAGAGTTCAGAACACAAAGCAGAGACTTGTGATTGGCTCTTGTGATACCCCATAGAGGCAGAGCAGGCAAGGGCTGGGGAAGAAACTTGGACTGCCTCTTGGCCATCGGACTGTGGAAACAGGCACAAGGGGAATCCGAGGAAATGGACCCAGAATCAAGGTAAAGCTTTGCTGATCAAGGAATATAGCAATCGAGAACCAAGAGTAAAGAAACTTTTTTTTCTTTTTCTTTTGGTGGCTTGGCAGGTGACAAAATGTGCTCAGCAGCTGCAGAGATGTCTGCCACTAGTGCTAAGGTTTGCATATTGCATGGCACAGGAGAATTTCTTTCCAGTCTTAAACTGATGCTGAGGCTTATAGAAAGCTCACCACCAGTTCATAATAAATGTTCTTTAGGAGCGGTGGCACTGCTGTCAGGACTTATCCCATATGACGTCTCAAGAGTTAAAATGCTGGTACTCCATTCCTTGATTTGCTTTAGATCTTATAATGACTCCAAGTGCATATATCATCCATTCTCTGCCCAACACCTTTCCATTGCTTCTGACTTCTTATTGCACCAACATTATGCAAGCACAGAGGGTTGTCCGGCCATGTTGGCACACGAATGTTGGTATTGCACCAACATTATGCAAGCACAGAAGGTTGTCCGGCCATGTTGGCACACCCAAAGCCGGGCTCTGCCCCATTCAGGCCTGTCCAGGCTTCACCCCATTGCCCCATTGCACAGCTTCAGATTGCAGACCTGATCTGGTTTTTCAACCCATGCCAAGACAGCTGGCCGGTCCAAGTGCCCCAAAACCTCTGAGGGCTATCTTTGTTGTCAACACACAGTTGACAACACTTTGTCAACACTTTGTTGGCAACACAGTCTACGTTGCTGCTGCCAACTTTCTCATGGGGCGAGCATGACTAGACACGGAATGCCAACGCCATTAGTAGTACCTTCCCAAAGAGGTGGAGCAATTCATCTGATGGTGTTATTGTTGCTGCTAATAAGTGTTGCTTGCCTCCTTTTGTTTTCAGAAACATACAACACGCCTCCATGGCCACCTTTTGCTAATCCCCAACCAGGCTGGTCCCTGCCCACCCAAAGCCTGTCCAGGCGTCCCTGTGCCAAGAGGACCGGCCAGTTTAAGCCCCCCCAAACCTCCGAGGGCTATCTTTATCATATCCGGGTGGTCTCAGCAGCCAAGTTGCAATCCCCAGCTTTCTAGTTATAAACGAGCATCTTTGTTTCTTTGAAGGTTGTCAGCAAGTCTAGCTAGACGTTGGTGGACAGGTGAGTGTCCTAGGCAAGGCTCTGCCCCACCCAAAGCCTGTCCATGTCTGGGTGTCCCCCATGCCAAAGAGGGCCTATCTCAGCTCCACCCAAAGCCTGCCCAGGTGTCATCCCAACACCCCATCACCCGGCTTGAGACTGCAGAGTTTGTCTGGTTTTTAACCCATGCCAAGAGAGCCAGCCTGTCTAAGCCCCCCCAAAACCTCCGAGGGCTACCTTTATCATACCCGGGCGGTCTCAGCACCCAAGTTCAAGCAATCCCTAGCTTTCTAGATCTAAACAAGCATCTTTGTCACCCCATCACCTGGCTTCAGATTGCAGAGCTGACCTGTTTCCAATAGCCCCCTGGCCCCATGGATTGACCGCTGTTAGTAGCACCAACCCTGTTCATCTGATGGTGCTGCTAGTGCTCTTGGAAGTTGCAAGCAACCTCAGTTGCCTCCTGGGGGCAAAAACCTTTCCTTTGCAGGCAAATCTGATGTTGCTGAAGAAGACCAGAGTCTGCTCTGCTGCCTTTTGCCTCAGTGCCCCAATGGGCCAAGACATGCCACTTTGCTGCTGCGAACTACCTCAGTGCCTGATGAGGCCAAAAAAGTCTGCTTTCTTGCTGCCTTTTCCCTCAGTGCCTGATGGGGCCAAAAGAGCCTGCTTTCCTGCTGCCAGCTTCCTCAGTGCCCGATGGAGCCAAAAAGCCGGCTGTGCTGCCAAATACCTCCTTGTCTCCAGTCGTCCTGAGGGCATCCTCTACTTCACTGGCAAATGTAATGTTGTGCTGAGCTGAAGACAAATTCGATGCCTCATGCATGCCTCTGGCCAAGGGACCTCTCAGTCTGCTGGGGCTAAATATAACTCCCTCAATGCCATGGGCTTCTGTGCTGTGTGGTAAACTCTCCTGGGGAGGACCCAATTTGTGGATGAATAACTCGGAGTTCTGATATCCAGTCTTAACCATAGTTGGCAGGCATGTTGGGGAAAGACATAGGAAGCTCCGTTGTGATTCTGGAGTCTCTAAGTATCTGGGGGGATCTTTTCTGGGGGGTCCTCTTTATGACTATATAACTCGGGGGTCTGTGATCCAATTTTCACCAAACTGTCAGGGGTTGTAGAAATGCTTCCCTGCACATTTGGTATCTCTAGGTCACCAGGAGCCAGTGTTATAACCATTTAAAATGCAGACAAATCAAGAGATCGATCCATCGATTCATCAAAGAATATTCGTATATTTGCTGATCCTTTAACCATGACAAATAACGTATCCAAATGAATCACCATTTTTTAAAAATTTGCCTCCATATCTAGAGGTGGTCACCTCAGGTGCTATGGAACTACAGTAAAGAACGTTTAATGCTATCGAAATAATGTACAATAAAACAGGGGCCCCCAGCCCCTGGTCTATGGCCTGATACCGAGCTGTGGCCTTGGCAGGACTGTGCCGCTGAGACAGATCTCCTGTGCCCCCCTGCATGCATGCCCACTCACCTGCATGGCCCACCCACTCACATGCATGGGTGCCTCACCCATCCACATGTGCACTCTGCATCCATGAATGTGCACGAGTGCGCCCTGCCCACCCATGAGTACACCTCGCCCATCCGTGCATGTGAGCATGCCCCACCAACCGTGCATGTGTGAGCATGCTCCTCGCCCACCCGTGAGCACACCCCGCCCATTTGCAAGCAGGGGGTTGCACCCTGCGCACAGACCACATCCACACCAACTGGTCTGTGATTTGGAAAAGCTTAGGGACAGCAGTAAAATAATGAATTTATTGATACTATATTTTAATTTCAAGGAGATGAAACAGTTGCTTATGCTCGTTTCTCCCTCAGATGTTTTGCCTAGAATTTTTGGCCTTGGACAATTTCACTTGAGAGGGTGCAATTTGCTGCTCTGCTTCAAGCAGGAAAATGTCTTGGGAAACTACCCTATATCCTTAATCTCAGTACTGTAATCTACTGTTTTAGTAAACCAAAGGTGGGCTAGGTATTGTCTTAACTCCTCCCCCACCTACTACTTATATTTTAAAATTCTTGCTGTCCCCCCCAAATCTTCTCTTCTCTTCATCTAGTGTTTCCAACAATTTCACATGCATTCAGAGACAGAAAGCATTATGAAAAGTGAACAGTTAATCCTGCCTGGTCTGCCTTAATATTATTTTATCCTTTGAACATCTGCACTTGAGGAAGATAAGATTTGACAGATGTTTGGCAGAAAACAACACATTTGCCTGTTTGATGTCTGTCCCTGAATCTGATCAATATGGAGAAAGCACTGAGTACTGAGATCAGCAATGATGCTGTGGGGAAATATATGGCCAGCTGTCACCTTTAAGTATCTCTCTTCTAACAGCATCAATAATTATTCGGATAAAGTGGATGCCAACTGACCTTTTTATATACTACCCTGCATTGAGGTAAGAGCACAGAAGTCATTGTGCATCAACAAGATGTAACGAGCCCATCAAAGTTGTCTTAGCACAATGATGTTGCATGCTCTAATCCAGACAATTTTTATGACTACCTATAATAGCGAACAGGGACGTGGTGGCGCTGTGGGCTAAACTGCAGAAGCCTGTGCTGCAGGGTCAGAAGACCAAGCAGTCATAAGATCGAATCCACGCGACGGAGTGAGCGCCCGTTGCTTGTCCCAGCTCCCGCCAACCTAGCGGTTTGAAAGCATGCAAATGCGAGTAGATAAATAGGTACCATCTCGGTGGGAAGGTAAACAGCGTTCCGTGTCTAAATCACACTGGCCATGTGACCACGGAAAGATTGTCTTCGGACAAACGCTGGCTCTATGGCTTGAAGAGCGGGATGAGCGCCGCCCCCTAGAGTCGGACACGACTGGACAAAAATTGTCAAGGCTTTTATGACTACCTATAATAGCGAACAGAAGATTCCCCCCTTTCCCCCTCTGAGAGAGGCATTTCATATTCTTATTTCTTGTTTGCCTGCTAAGATTTACAAGCAGTTCAGCAGATTATGTATTGTACTGGCACAATACTGTTCATATTTTCTATGCAGTTTTCCCTGTAATATCCTCAAAGCCTGTAACAACAATGAGAGTATATTGGCACCTACCTCACCCATCTCGTAAAGTGATGGGGTCACCCAAATTCAGGTTACCAACTTGGCCAGCTCATGGAATTTCTTCAAATAGCCTGCTTGTTGGCTTTTTATTCCTTCAGGGAGGCTACTAAATATGCTCAAAGACATGGATGAGAGAGGAACTTTCCAGATATTTTAGCCTAAAGCACCCCTCAGGCTCGCTTAGCCTGGCTAAAGATAAAGAGTGTTATAATGCATATAATCTATAGGGTTAAATGTTCTCCATTCCTACCCTGCGGAAACACAGGATTTAAAATGTGCACAGCTGTTTAAAGGGTAACTGTGTACATGTGTCTGAGTTCCAATGGGCATCAGATATCTCAGGATGATGGGATAGTTGTTATTGTTTAGTCGTTTAGTCGTGTCCGACTCTTCTTAACCCCATGGACCAGAGTACGCCAAGCCCTCCTGTCTTCCACTGCCTCCCGGAGTTGGGTCAAATTCATATTGGCAGCTTCGATGACACTGTCCAACCATCTCATCCTCTGTCGTCCCCTTCTCCTCTCGCCTTCACACTTTCCCAACTTCAGGGTCTTTTCCAAGGAGTCTGGCCAAAGCTTCAGGATCTGCCCTTCCAGTGAGCACTCAGGGTTGATTTCCTTTAGAATGGATAGGTTTGTTCTCCTTGCAATCCAGGGGACTCTCAAGAGCCTCCTCCAGCACCACAAATCCAAAGCATCAATTCAAAAGCATCAAGATGGGATAGTAGTTATTCACATTGCTGTGAATCCCATTTATTTGTTTTCTGTCTATTCCAGAAGTGACTGAGTCCTGGCCTCTCTTTGAAGAAAGAAAGAATGGAGTGAATATTAAGATAAAGATACTGGACTGAGGCTAGCTGTAGCGTGTCATGCAATGGGTGATAAGAGGTCCCAGCATTTTTTTTCCTGGCCAAGGCAGCTGTGCCACAGTGGGAATGCTTCACCAAGATTTAAGAACTCCAGATGCTCTCCTAGATCTAATGTACTGTATTGAGCAAATCTGCCTACCTGTAGAGAGCTGAAAGTGGTCGCTTGTTTCCTGGCTTAGGTCTGTACGGTTTTGGCTCTCCTGCCATGTTGATATCTGAAAGGAAACATATTGCATACCTCAGTTACAACAGAGGCCTCAGGAGAAGGAGAAAGAATGACAGTAGAATACAGTTCTGGGTGGAAGAAAGTAACTTTTACATAAAATTCCAATCTGCTTTTCTCCACATGTACATGATACAAGAAAAACCACATTTGATTTGTCTCCCCAGCTCTTTAACAATCTTCTGCCTATTTCATCTTTCCATCAGGCCTTAATTTCCTTCCTCCTCACAAGGAAGTACCTTATACTAGGCCAGGCTGTTTATCCATCCAGCATAGCTTTATCTACTTGGGCTGCACCTTTGGGGTGCTTATATATCTATGGATGGTCCACCCAGAGTTCTTGGGCTCCACCTCATAATTCATTTTAAAATCTATTTATCTGAAAAATACATTCGTGTCCTGCTGTTCCTCTAAGGATCTTGAGGTGTCATGCACTGTTTTTCCTTTTCGCTTTTATCCTCACAGCAACTCTGTTAAATGACTTTAAGTTACACTTCCCCATTGAGGGTCCCAGTCAGTTTTACATATAGAAGTGGTAGTTTCTGAAATGATAAAATATGTTTTCCCCATATAAGAAAGCATCAAGATGCAGTTCTTCCACCTTCAATCCAAACTGTATAGTCCATTCTATCACTTCTAGTGCCTTTCACCTAATGTGTACTGTATTTGATGCTTCTGCAGATCAGGCTTCAAAATCTGCCACAGTTTCTGTTAGGAAAAATGAGTGGAGATGTGGGAAATAATTTTATTTTTAATTGCTGCTTCTTATTTTCCCTTCAAAGCAATAAGATGTATGAAAATACACAGCTTGTAGCTCAAACACATTTCCTCTTCTGAAAATACCTCTTAAAAAATAGCATGTACTGTTGTCGCAAAAAGAGAAATCTCTACATGACAAGTTGCTCATGAAATACTTGCTGTCATATCTGTATGTCATGGCTCAGGATCTCTTATTTCCACCCACCTTCTCTTACTTCTCTATCCTGAAAGTGTGTCAAGGATACAGATCTATTATGTCTGCCAACCTTTCTGTCTTTAAAGTCATACTCTGAAACATCTTTTTGGCAAAGGGAAAACAAATAATGCCCCTTATTTTGATAGGCAGTTAATGAACAAGGACAAATTCACAGCTGGATATGTTTTCACTATGAATCCCACATTATTTTCTTCACAGTAATTCCTTCAGCCTAGATCTAGGGTCAGACTGGACATTTATATCATTGACGCAAATCAGCATTCCATAAGGCAATTCTAAAAATGGGGGCACCCACCCCAAAAATTAGACCTTTGAAACTGAATCTCAGATCAGCACTAAATTTGGTACAGATGTAGTAGACAGCCTGTTCTTCTTCTATCCAAAAGTTGGGAATGTTCAGGCACTGAACATCTGAGTTATGCTTTTGTTTATATGTAAATGTGTTTTGGCAGGTTAGGTCTCTCTCTTTTCGTACTGCTCCACCCCACTTTCCCCAGATGTATTGTCTATTCTGGTCATTTCTGTATTTCCTTTATGTGTGCATGGTAAGATAGCCTCAGGTTACTCAGTTTGGCTCTAGTGATGGTTCGGGCCTGCCTTGATCAAGCACTTACTTTTCTGGCTATCTTTCATATGTATACGTCTCTCCTCCAATACTAAACTTGAAATGAGTCAATTTTTGTTCCTCTCTTTCCTCACTGTCTTTCTTTTACATAATATGTATGATTTAACCTTGGTTTCCAGTGACACTCTCTGCTTACTTCAACCTCTCCTTTTTTTTCAAATTTCAGAAGGCACAGGGACACCTGAATGTTGACAACACCAATGGCAGCAGTCAAGATGATCTAGCATATACAATTTTATAAAAAAAACAGTATCTACTTTTGTCCTCAACTTTGATGATGCTTGTCTTTTTTGCTAATATATGCTGTACATGTCCACCCTATCCATATTCCTGCAGGAATCCTTCTAAAACATTGTGCCTATACTAATATCACTGCTTTTGTTACAGCCCAGTTTTGAACTACACTACAGCTGTGCACCCTGGCTTTTGCTGCTGGCTAGTGCTACTTCTGATGAAGTCTTGCTGACCCACCACCACCACCATTGCACTGGACCAGCATAATGACTTACATTAAAAAAAATATTCAAAATGACTATTCAGAATGCTGAGCTTTCTCCTTTCTATATCTAGGCTGTTGTGTGAAATGACAGAGTGAAGCATTGCTTTTTATGACAGAAGAACACTGGTATGGTTATTTTTAAAATGCAAGACAAATGTGGTTTTTGCAACTCTTGACTTTTTATGTTAGCCTCACAGGTCAATTTGTCTTGCAAAAATGCATTAAGATGCTTTTCGCATAGGTATATTTGTTTCCACAAAGCAACACAACCATGAGATTTTTAAAGTTGGTTTTTATGGCCTGTCACACAACCGCCTGCAGTTTTAAGATAAATGTGTTCTTAAAGAAAAGGCCAGACCTCTTCTTTGCTTTTAAATATACATTTGAGATGCTTCCAAAAGTATCTCTTTAAAAGAGAATATAATAACAAGTAATTCTTTCGGAACTGCAAGAAATGGATAGGGGCTATTATTACCTGCATAGAGCTTTCATATGGATTTTTGAGACTGTATATTATAATTACATTGGAAATTTCATCCTCTGACATTTTACTATAATTGCATTTTCCCACAATAGTTTTGTATGGCAATGTTAAGGTCACAGATTTTCAGCATATAGGTTTCCAAAACTACACAGCTATATGTCAGCAGAAATGCTATATTTACACACTTAATTTGGGGGTGGGGGTGGGTTAGGAGATATGCCTGGGGTTGTTACATCAATGTCCACATTCTTTTCCATAGTTGTTCCCTTCCATTCCCAGATGCTTCACCACATCCTTATGTTCTAAGACATTCTAGTATCAAAAAACTCATTCACATGTCCCTGCCCTTTAGGGGCATATCAGTGCTATCTCACTATCATCATGGCTCAGCTTTTACAGACTTTTGGATAATGAATAACATTATTCCTTTCCTCTGAAAGGTATCACCTTGACAGACAGTATAACAAAGAATCGTGTTGCAAAAGAAAAGATGGACAGAGATGTTCAAGCACATTTATTCTGTCTTTCATCCTAACTAGTCCTCCCAGAAGATGTTAACTGGAAAAAAAAGTTAACAGACTATATTATGCCACAATAGTGAGTTCTGAAATAGTTCCTCCGGCTTCAGGTCCATTTCTGAGCTGAACAGTTTCGGTAACAAAGTCCCAAATGGCTTGGGATCAGGGCTCTACTCAAGTGATTCCTGGAAAAACTCTCTAGAACACAAGTGGGCAACAATTATAGCAGTTTCTGATAATAGGCAAGCTACTGGGTTCACTGCAAGGGCTGATGGAACACAGCCTTTTCTGTTTTTGTCTTAATTTCCTTAAATTGGGGTAAGACCGTGTTAGCTCTCCTTGTGCAAGGATCCTGTGTCCCACATGGGGCAATTCTTCATACCCCAGCACTGTTCTTTGATACATGCCACCATTCAGTATGTCGTGGTGGTCCTCTGGGGAGATTTTGCAGCCTTCGTGGTGGGAGAGGAAATAATTGTTTTCTTTCTTTTCATGGATCTTAAGATGCAGGCTTGGATGTTCAGACAACATGATGCATCAGCTGTTGTTATTTGATGACAAAAGTTCTTACATTCTTTACAGCACAAGCTTCAATGGAATATACCCGTATATTGTATTAAATAGACATTGACTTCCTTACCAACCAACCGTTATCTCAGTATTGTCATGTCATATATAAATATTTGCCATGTTATATCTCTTTCTAATGCCTGAGGAAGTGGACTTGTCCACAAAAGCTCACATTAAAATATAACAGTCTTGAAGTTTCCATCACGTTTTCGTATGTTATTTTGTTTTTATTGTGTTTTTACCTTTAGATGAAAAGTATAAGTTTGCATGCTTCTCCTTCTAACACTGGGTGTCGGTAGGGAGCATGATCTGAACTTGCTACTGACATAGTTTCTTCCATTCCTCAAGAGTCCTTGAGATGTCCCTTCCTTTCTGTTACTTTACTAGTTGCCTTTCTCCCCCCACACCCCCCAATTTTTTGCTTTCCATTTTTTGTATCCTTTAACCAGTAAAAGAATTTTTTAAATTAATATGTCAGCTTGGAGTAGTGGTGGCGTGGTGATGCTGTGGGCTAAACTGCAGAAGCCTGTGCTGCAGGGTCAGAAGACCAGCAGTCGTAAGATCGAATCCACGCAATGGAGTGAGCTCCCGTCGCTTGTCCCAGCTCCCGCCAACCTAGCGGTTTAAACACATGCAAATGCAAGTAGATAAATAGGGACCACCTCGGTGGGAAGGTAACAGCGTTCTGTGTCTAAGTCGTACTGGTCGTGTGACCATGGAAGATTATCTTCGGACAAAACGCTGGCTCTGTGGCTTGGAAACGGGGATGAGCACCGCCCCCTAGAGTCGAACACGACTGGACAAGAAAATGTCAAGGGGAACCATAACCTTTTACCTTGGAGTAGTGAAGGCAAAAAAAGTGCTAACTATGCATGTGGTTTCTGATTTTTATGGATTCTGTTTGAAAAACCTAAGGTGCCAAAAGGAAACTCCTTTTGAGGAGCTGATCAACTGTCATTGCCAATAAAACACTGAGTCAATGTTGTGTCTGTGTTACATGATAGATTTGCCACAGCGGCTAAAGAAAACTGGTAAAGAAAACTAAAGTGAAGATTAATCACATGGACTGCTATGGCATGTGTATCCTTGCTCTTCCTGGTGGAAGTAATTAGATGCCTAGAAATGAGAGCTTGTATTAAAGTCCCACAGGATAAAAGCCATAGTTTGAATTGCATAGGCATTTTTTGTGTGTGTTACCTCTCTTGTTAAATATTCCCCAAAGAAATGTAACCAAACTATTATGAGGATATGATTCTTAGTTTTGCTGGTATGATATCATTTTTTTGCCCCCAAAGAATATTTTTTTCATTCCTGACTACA